ATACCCTCAGAGCAGGAGGGCTTGGTGAAGCGGGGGCCTGTATGCTAAAAGTGCAGGAATGTAAGCTCACAGCTTGTGATTCCTGTGCCTGGATCCAGCCTGTCCCAGAGGAGCTCAGATCAGTGCTTGCATTTAAATTCCATTCGCTGTATCTAGAATTTGGGGGGAAATTGAGAGTTTAACTCCGAGAAGTCCCCATTCTACATATCAGAATGAGGGTCTTGGTGGGTTTTATTCAGTAGCTTGTAAACTGACTATACTTGAAAACAGATTTTCACAGGAACACAGAAACAGTATTCCTGACATAACTATTACCCTCCTGAAAAAAAGTTACTGCTTCAAAGCCCAGAGTCTTCAGCACGCACCGATGGCAAGTTTGCTAAGATGATTGAACTATCTGGCTGTTTTGGCTGGAGGTTTTTGCAAAACCTTCAGGCTGAGGCACTGGAAAATACCAGCCTGAAGTCAGTTTGCCAAAAGATGAGCATCTGAAGGCAGGACTTCATGATAGGAATTGTCAGGCAACCATAAAAATAAGCCCTAATATCAACATCATTTGTAAAAAAAGGGGTACAAACAGACTGATGGATCGAGCATGAAAGGTTAGTTGGTAGAGAGAAAATAGACGTTAAGCACCTGTCTATATTTAATGTATGACACCAACTGACACCACATGTAAGCAATCATTAATATTTTCTTACTGTGTCTTGATCCCAAAATGATTTTGCCCTCCAGAATGAATTCTTTGCTCTAGAGGTCCGGAAGAGGTTTGGTTCTGTTCCCAGTGTTAAACCTTCCATTTGGAAAGACGCAGACGTTCAAGCTGCCAGCATTACAGATGGCTACCTTTCTATGCCCTCGCTTAAAAACCGAACAAAACTCCTTTTAACCAATTTGACACCCAGGTTTACCTTGTTTGAACTCAATAAGCAGTCTGAACTCTGTAATAATCTGATGTCTGCTCAGACAGGCTCATTCTGTTCTCCTAAATCTCATCTGTGTTAGATCTGCCCACTATTAGAAAAATTCAGCCTGGGGACCATATGTAGAAGTCTAATTTACTTTAGCAAATATATTTAATCAATTCCACCCTACTATTTTCCTTTTGCTCAATGTTTGATTACTTTTATGTCACCTATTAGATACAAATTGCTGTTTTTTACAATAAGTGGGTGATCTGACAAGGCCAATTTCATGTCTCCCATTAGATAAAGTGACATTTCAATCCAATTCTCTGACAAACTTAGATGAGGAGACTGTGTAGTCTGAGCACACACAATGACAAGGCACTTGTCTTTTCAGCCTTTCCTATCAGAACAAACACTCGGGTAAATTGAAAACCTCCTCTTCAGGATTTATTTAAACAGAGCAATCAATACTTTATTTCACCATCTTCTAAAAGGTATATAAGATAACGCAAACAATTTTTTTAAAAAAAACACACTTTTTTTTTTCTGTCTTGTTTAAGGCCAGACTAATTGCTCACTGACAGGCTTTTTGCTCATTAAATAGACAATATTCATGTTTACAGTTCTTTAATAAGATAACATGGGATTAACTGACAGGTCTTTAATTGCTTCCCCCCCCGCCCCTCCATACAGAGTAAATCTTGCTATAACCATATCTGCTCAGGTGAAAAAAAAAAAAAAAAAAAAAAAACACAAAACAAAACAAAAAACCACAAAACAATCAAAACCCCAAAACAACAACAACAACAAAATTTGGGAGTTTCTTACTATCTCTCATCTTCAAGACTTCATTCCTGTTGCTTTGTGACTTCAGGTTTGGTTTGCAGTACCTGATACTAGCAGCCTTTCTGCTGATTTCCAAAGTTCTGGTACCTGGTCCGCAGTGCCACCCAACATCATGCCACAGCAGCGCGACAAACCTTAGAGAGGTTTCCCTAAGGAAGTAACTGGAATCTACTTAGAGTAAGGTCCTATTTAGTGAAACTGTGTCTACATGAAGTAGAATGAACGTTGTACAGAGCTGTAACCCACTCTACTGTGCAAATGCCCCTACTTTGCTAAAAGCAAAGATATTTTGGAAAAAATCCAAATTCCAGTGCAGGACTTACTTAGTTGCAACTTGAGTTACAAGTTCAGTAACTAGAATGAAACAGGAGCACAATGAATGGGAAGAACTGATTCTCTTTAACTTATAAACGTTACGTTTGACTCTCCTGTCATCCTAGCCATGTAATTCCAGGGAAATTTCTCTTAAATCAGCTTAGTTACACCAGCATAAATGAGAAGACAATTAGATTCATTGTTTGCAACAAAGAGCGGGGAGTAATTACACCACTGTTTCTACACATACTGTTATTAAGCCATCAGTAATTCCAAAGTATGCTAAGCATTACATGCAATATGGGTAAATGTACATTTTTCATGAGTTATTAACGGTAATGGATTAAAAACAGATATAGCTGCACCAAAATCAATCCATTATCTTTGAATTCTGCTAACTAACATTGCAGAAAAGTTACTAAAAAAAAATCAGGAAATACAATTTCTTAATTATGTGCCATCAATAAGAAAGCATATTTACTAATTAGCCTCTAATGCTGCTATTTCAGTTTAGTCATCTAAGGTTTTACAGCACAATGTTTAAAATGGGTCTTTTTAGGTCAGAAGGAATGACCTGCAGGTGGTCTCATAAAAGCTCCAATATAGGCAACAGGGATTACCATAATTACTTTGCCACTCTGCAAGTAGTTAATGGGATTACACCCTAAGGCTATCCACTTGTTCACAGTGCCCAGTGCACATTTTCTGAAAGAACCAGGATAAGCACAAATGCTTTAATGATACGCTTTGTAATTTCATCTACTGCACCGCAAAAGGAGCACTAACAAATTAAAACACCCTAAATCAAAGAAATTTTAAAAAAAAAATAAAAAAGTCTAACTTCTTCAGCTTCCTGTACTTCCCGTCACTGATGCCGTAAGTCTTCCATCTGCCTCCTTCAGGCAGTCTCTGTTCTTCCTCATTTTCAGTGATGTTAGGTCTGAAAGATGCTTCATCATTCCTATTGGGGCTCACAGTCCACACTTTCTTTCTCTGCTGACTTCCATACATTTCCATTTCTGGCCACCCCTTTTATTTCCTTTTCATGCTTGGACTGAAATAACCTCATTTTTTCCACCATGCCTCATAATTACATTCTCATCTCACCCACTCTATTTGTTTCTTTCTTCATCTGTACATTCAAATAGCTCATCTAAGTTTTAATACTACAACTTGTTTTGTCTTGTTATCTTCATACACCGGTTATTTGCAATATCCTTCTCTTTGTCTTGTCCTGCTTCTCTCCATTTTCTTTAAAACACAACCAGTAAAAACACATTCTTGTTTTTTGAAAATATTTTTTTCTTCATTATGGCTCTCTTCTACTGGTGACCTATTGTTCCCCAGTCTAACCTGTAGCCTAAGTTTCTTCCTCTCTCATCAACGCCTACTCATCTCACAAACACTGTTGTAACCATATCACCATTATTCCACTCCTCATTTTCTTCCTAAATATCCCCCTCAATTTTTATTTAACTCAAAACCCCTCATCCTTATCTACAGCCTAATCGCTAACGTTCCTGCATCTCTTCTCAATGTAAACTCTACTGCCCTTCTCACATTTTTCCTCATCTTTTTTTCCCCAACAAAACTTCCGCTTTGCTTTTTTAACTTTTTGGCCTGATTCTTTATTTATGCCACTGTGCCTCCTGTCCTTCAACCTCTTCCTTTACTGGTAGCTTCTACATTGACTTAAGAAACAAGGTCCACAGTACATTTTCAGATGTAACAGTTATCCTACAACTTTTATGTCCTACATAAAAGTTGCCTTTCGGAAAAGGATCACATCTTTGAAAAGTCCTGACGAATCCCATATAGGTTTATAAATATACAAAATAATTAAAGAGTTAGGAGAAGGAAAAGAGCAAATCCCAGATCAACTATATAACAAAGCCCCTTATCCAGTCTGCTTTCTGCAATTAGAACTGTGCAAGCTCTTATACTGCAATAGGTACTGATTCTTTAATTAGATGACTAAGTGATAAGAAACGCTGATTTGTATCTTAACCCAAAAGATAAAACCTAGAGCAGAATTTGGAAAGCAGAGTGACAAGAAGGTCACAAAAAATTTCTTGCTGCTACTCCTCAGCCTGTAAGTTTCTTTAATTCCATTAGAACAGCTACAATGATATCATCCATGATAAACCAAATGCTGTTGCCAAAAGAAAAAAGTCGTATCCAAAGAAGGATACTGTTTCTAAAACCAGAGAATGTATAATTAGATGCAAGTGTGCCCTTCCTAATTCCCAGGTGACAATCCCACACCTGTGGTGGATTTAGTTTTAGAGCACTGGTTCACCCCTTGCCAATTTGGATCAAATTGTTTTCAGAAAGAAGAGAAAAAGAGCCCTTAGCCCTTCATCTCACTTCTTGTTTGTCAGGCACAGAATGGACCAGAAAGGGAAGACACATAACACAACAATGTGGCTCCACAGCTTACATGCTACAGAATCTGGTTTTGTCTCTGACAGAACAAAACCAAAATTGTGTTCCTACAAAATACAAGTATAAAAGTAAGAAGCAATCAAAATGAAATTTAAATATAATGAATGTTAAAAAATTATTTTAGTGCAGTTTTCTATAAGGATGGACAGACCTGTATGCATTCTATTTACACTTAAGTGTTTCCTGCTGTTTTTAAAAACATCCCTCTGTATGTTGGAATATGTGTATTTTATGTGTTCATTTTAAAGTAAATCTTTCATATTTTGCAGTAAATATATTTTTAGAATGCAATCTCCACAAAAGAGGTAAATAGCCAGTATTACGTTCATACCTTTACGAGATTTTTTTAAAGACATATAGTTCTAAACAGTGCATTTTGGGGAAATATTTAAACCAACAATCAATAAGTAACTGGTTAATTAGCCCTGGCTTCTTCCATCATTCCATTGTCACAGCTGGATAGACTCTTCAGATCTACATAAACAGAGTCTCTTTATCGAAACTCTCATCGACTTTACCAGGCCATGGCTGACATTCTTACTGAATTAGCAACTGCAGGTCCTTATTCCATACACTGAGCATGCAAATACTGATTTTTATTGTGAAATACCTTTGACTATCAGTTCTGCGTAGTTCGATACACCAACTCCTCCTTCCGTCCGAATCATGCAGCGATAGTTGCCAGCATCCCGCTTCGTGGCATTTACCACACTAAAAAGAGCTACAAATCGGCGAAAGTTGAACACTTTTATGTCCCTCAAAGGTGCATCCCTTACATAGATACCCTAGGCAAAGAAACAAAAATAAAGAATATTGTTATTCATATTAAAAAAAATACTGTCAACCAATTTTATTTCTCTCAAGTTCCCCAAGAAGGGAGGCAAGACAAAAGCAGAAGTCTGTATGTTACTTTTGCAGATGTTTACACTGTGTGAGACTTTGCTGCCTTCCCATGTGAGTTAAACCATTCATCATCAGTGGGCGACCACTCATCTGGAACAGCTGCTTTCAACTCTTTATAGATTAACTAATAGAAAGATTTAAGAGCAATGTAACATTTACATGCTTGGCTTGCTTTACACAAATATTTAAAGTTATTTCTTTTAAAGAAACATGAAACCTAGCATACTTGGTCTCTGCTTTCTCTTCCCCTCTGCATCTGCTACTCGGCATATGCAACTTGCACAGCTTGCAGGGAAATGTCAGGGGATGGTTCTCATAAAGCAGCACCTACACATGGGGTTATCAGCAACTCAGGAGGAAGAGACTTGGCACAGATTTAGCAGGCGAATGACCAACAAGGCCGAAGCTGTCTCCATCTCTCCCTTCCTCAGCACAAAACTGGGGACTGGGTAGTTTCTACTTCTGTGCAGTGTCTCGCCCTCAATTCAACATACTGCATGCAGGGCACACGAGAATGAGCCATGTCACAGCCGAGGAGCACAAGGGCCAGCCTAAGTGCCACGCTACCGGCCTGCTCCCTCACGTGATGTGGTGCATGGCTGGAGGAGTGAAAAAGAGAGGGTAGAAGACAGAAGCAGGCAGAGATGACATCTTACCATGTCCTCTGCCACAACAACGAGGGCAGAGAGACTTGGCTCTCAGATCTGCATCAGAACTCATGCTCTACCTGCCCATGAAATAGGATACATGCACTATGAACACTCAAAAACTCTCAGAAAAATCTATGATCACCAAATTACTAGAGCTGCCTGAAAAAAACCCATATGCAAAATCTAGCGACATTTAGTCAAACAAGCAAACAACACAGATGCACTTTACGGATTTCAACAAACTGAAGCCCACGGCCATTATCAGAACATCAAGAGGACCTGGAGCAGCCCCACAAGGACGTCCCACAAGTCGCTCTCTCCAGGAGGGCATACGCACAGTCTGATGCTAGGTAACGATACCCGTTGTTTTCAGTGGTTTTTCTGACTTCAGGAGCTTCAAGCAGGGCAAGGGTCCTGCACCACTGAGCTTCTACAAACCAACCACACAGGTGGTGGTGTCCGCCCTAGAGTTTGTAGTTTGTCCAGCAGAATTTAAGACCTATATAGGAAATACTGACCTCATTTTGTTATGGCCTTTACTTGCCACTATGTTGAAAGTACCTTCAAAATACCCGTTATAACCAGAGTTTCAAATACCAGCCATATAAAATTAAACTCATCCATAAATCACAAAACAAAGTAAAAGTTAATCATGTCATTAATACCAAAGAAGCAGTATAATTAACAGTAAATACTGATTCTCATGCACAGTAAGGTAGAGTTACTTCCTCTTCAAAAATAAACATGGGTGATGCACAGCTTATTTAAAAGAAAAGAATGCTTGTAAGATGACCAAAGAAGAATGTACCTTCATGCCTTAAAAATTACTCAGTCTTAAATTATTACTTAAGAACTACTTTAAATAATTGCCAGCTCCTAAAAATTCCTAGAATTCTGAGCTGCTGATAAACCCGCTTCTCTGACATGGCACAGCAGTTACCGGAAACAAAACTTGGAAAGAAACATTTCAAGCTGCTATTTCAAAACTACTGTTGTTACTGGGTTTGCCACTGTAATATCCTTCTAGCAAGAATGGCTGCAGATAGTGGGAAGCAAGCAGGGTGGGTTAACGATGACTTTGGAGAATGAATATATCTTAAAAGCAACATTATTTTTTACCTCAGACAATAAACGATTAATCCTAATTATCAGAGCTGCTGACCAGTCACAAACCACACGGTTTTAAAGTATGTTTCTGCAGCTTTCAGACTCTTTAAGGACTCTGTGCATAGCGAAGTCTTGTGCTTACACTACATTCGCCCACACCAGGTTTTCCTTTTTTTCTAGTTGCAACATCAGGAAGCTTTACACAGGCTATTTTATCCTGCCAAGAAACTGGGTAAGTTATTCTCTAGGGAACAACATACAGCCACACACTAATTAGCTCTGGTACCCAAACTAGCTCAGCTCATTTAGAGTGTGAACAAGCCCCTCTGCACTCCAGCCCGCACGGGACACCCACCCTGCCACGCAAGGCACCTGCATCCAGAATTTACCAGGACTTTCACGAGTTACGACACAACTGAAGAACCGTCTGAATATGTTAAGAACTGTTTCTTGCTGTTCCCACCCAAGAAAGGCTACCGGACGCTGTTAAAGGGAGAAAGAGGTGAAGGGAAAGGACTAGGCGATGCCATGAGGCAGGACAATTTCTGCCGGCGAAGAGAGGAGTGCACAGAGAGGCAGGACGCAGGCACACTCCCGGCCGGCCCCGCGCAAGGACTCTCCCCTACCGTGCCGGCCCCCTCAGACCTCCCCCTGCCCCACAGAGACCCTGAACACCGCAGCCGGTGTTGCCATACAAACTGCCAGCAGCCACCAAGGGAACTGCTCAGGTACCTGGCCCCATACCACTCATTTCCCATCTGTTTTGCGCATATGTAGAATGAAAATCAGAACTGATCAATGCAGGGCAGCATTTATAACAAATTATTATTTCAATGGGGTCCCATAATCTTTTTCATCTTCTGCTGATTCTTGAACACACTAATCTCGCCTGATTTCAAATGTTTTAACCTCTGTTCTACAACAGGAAATCTTAATTTGATCAAATTATTGACTCATATGGCCACACAACACATGCTATCCATTTGCATGTCAATAATTTTGACTGAAAAAGAGAGAAGCCAAAGCACATTTCAGAGGCACACATCATTTTCCTCAAATTAACAAGCTATGTGAGCCTTGAATGTAACTCAGCTTGGATCTACGGAGGATTTGGGCATTTTTGTCCCCCACCAAAATCCACATGTGAAACAGGTTAATAATAGTGGCTTCAAAATCCACAAAGGAGCTGCAGAGTAAAAAGCGTTTATTATTATTATTATAACACACCTGTAAAATACATGTGAGATTATTATTAATAAAGATTATCTTGACTGACTTCTCTTAAACATTACAAACTCACAGAGGCAAAGTGTAGAGTATCTAATTATATGTTAGAACTCAAACAGTCCCACAGAAATCACTGGCATGACATTTCCTACTAGAACTCAAAAGAGAAAAAAACTAGATTTTTTTTCCTTAATTTCTTTGGGAAAAATATTTTCAAGGAAAGCATAGTATCTGGAATAGACAAAGACTAAGAAACATAATTGCTTTACTTTTCACAAGAAAAAAACACAGCTCAAGAGAGCAACTCTTCCCTCTCTTCTGGGATGACAGCAAATGAGCAGGAGAGCCGCCTAACGGATTTAAGCCTGGGCATAACGGAATGGTAACGAAGGTAATGAATTCAAGTATAAGAAAAGTTCGATCCACAGGCATTGGAGAAGACAGGTGAAAAGGCTGCACACTGAAAAAACCCAAAACAAACCAAAACCAAACCACCACACCTACAACCTCTCCCAAACTCTTATTTCAGCAACGGACAAATGCTCTGAAAAAACGCTATTTATAATTTGATATATACGAATACAGAATGGCTTCTGTTTTAACCGTTCCCACAGGGCCAGCTTCGCTCCCTTCATTTGTGATGCACATTTTGTTCTCTCTGAGTTACCACACAGCATCTTCAGGAAGCTGCACAGGTACGGCAGCGGTCACTTTTATGCACTAGCGAACTATCCAAAATTTGGAGGACAATGTCAATAATATTTTCTTTTCCATATTTAACAGGCCACTTTAAGCATATTGTATGATAAATGACAAGCTCTCAGTGCTGACTGTCAATAGAATGGCTAGAAATAACTTACTTGTATCAAATGAGCATTTGTCCATCGAACATATTGGTACATCCTGCTACAATTTTAAAAAAGAAAAGTTCTAGTAGCATTCACAAAGAAGTTTTTAACACTCACTAATGCCACATTCTGAAGTCCCACAAATAAAAGAGAACACTTATGATCTAATGCTTTACTAATTATAGTTATTAAAACCTTAACCTCATTTTTTTTAAGATTGATTCTGAAATTTACCGATAGGTCTTGCAAACTCCAACTTTTTATGTGGAAGCCTGAGTCTTCACAAATACACCACATTTTATTGAGAATTAAACAAAAAAGGACAAGTCTGTAATTTACTAATCCCATTCCAGAAAAGAGTATAAAATTCATGATTTAGAGTGCAACACTATGGTACTCTATATTAAAACCCAGGTTGTTGGAGTAAATTTGTTGTATCCTCCTGTTTTCTGGGTGGGGTTTATTTGTTTGTTTGTTTGACATATGATTCAAAGACAAATATGGTTCTTTTTACTTTTTTCTCTTAGCCCTGCTTTGCCACGTGAAAGACCGAGGCTTCACTACAGATTAAGCCCGCTAGCTTAATCTGGGGCTCGGTGAACTGTGTGAACAGGACACTTCATTCTTTGGAAAGAGGAAACTGCCGTACCCGTTTAATGCTAGACCTGCTTGGACTACAAAGGCCACGTCCCCAGGGCAGAGCTAGCTAACCTTCTTAGAGCAGAAGAAATCTGACCACAAAACAGGCTGCAAGATGCTGAGATCCAAAAACGAAAACAGCAGATTCCATTGGCTGCTGAGCAACCTGTACGTTTTTAAATGCTCAGAGAAAGCTTTTTTAAAAAAATACACATACTTAAAAATGCTATTTAAGCCAACTAATGAAAATATGTAACTGGTAACTCACTGTAAGAATAAATTCTCTATTAAACAACATGTCATTTAATATATAGGGTATAAAAAAACCTCACAACCTTAATTTAACCTCAGGATATACAAAGCTTGAAAATCCATATTGCTAGCACCAGCATATTAAATGCATGCAGATAC